AAAGACGGAACAAAGAGAATGTTTGGTGAATTTTATCAAGAGGAAAGACGGTATTGTCCTTCTTCCTATGGGATTTGGAGCATTACAAACGTCACGACCAAACAGCAGCGATTGGTTAAATAAAAAAAGTACCTGCCTACCTTCAAGTGAACAAATCCTAATGCTGCCAGATCAGACGGTTTCCACCAAGAGAAAGTGGCTGATGAATCAGACTAATCGCCGACAGAACCCAAACGAAGTCATCATCCCCATGTTTTCAAGCATCTTCTGTTTTTGTCTCTACTGAAGGAAAGATAAAAGGAGCTCTTCACTTAAACTACCGCTTCATTACAAGGTGGAACAGAGCGTTTTGAGCTTTGGAGATATAGACAGACTAATAATAAAGAGATACTCAAACCCAACACAACTCCACGTCTGTTTTTGCCGATGTAACAACATTTTAACATGGTTTAAAGCTTAAAAACGTCCATCTTGCGTAATAAAAGGAGCTTTAAAAGTCCTTTTAACTGACAACGCTCACGTCTTTGGGGTTGAAAAATGGCACGATGTTCTGAAGCTATTGTGAAAAAAAAGATTCTACTTTTGTTTATTTATCCTGACAGAGATGTTGAGCTTTAAGACACTTTTTGTTTCACGTGGATAGGCCCAGGAATGACAAAGATATGAACCATAAACCAGGTCAACAAATCTGCAATCTGACAGTTAAAGCATTAAGTGCATTGTGTAACTTTTTTGGTGGTGCGTTGTCTGGAATGTCCCACAGTATGGCATTAAACCTTTCTATCTTCACGGAGACCGAACCAGACCAAGTTACAGGTCCGATCTGTGGAGAGGTGACCCCGCTCACAGTCAAAATCCCTGTTTTTTCTCTGTATTTTTGAGCAATAAAACCACCTGTAATTGAATAAATATAGTAAAGTAAAGCTGTTTAATGTCACACTGTGGAACATTCCAGGCAGAGCGATGACGTATCCATAGAAACAAGCAGGTGACGGGACCCCAAACCAAAAAAAATGGCATAGCTGCACCTTAAAACTACAAACTCCACCTGAGAATTCTGTCTGTATCTGTTCATTATGTCCCCGCTTACAGTCTTTTGTCAATGTCCCGCAGTGTGGCTTTACTCTCTGTTTCTCTACTGTCTCTAACTGGTCCCGGTGGGAGCAGGATTAGACTCGCTATTCTCCCGTAACAGCCTCTGAGCTCCGAAACTCTTCTCTCATTTTTCACTTTTGAAAATGTCACTGAACCGTCGTCCCATTGTCCCCGTCCAAAACACAGACGGGATTAAGTCCACTGGATCTGACTGAGTTTTTGAGTGATTGTTTTACGAGAAAAATCGGCTTTCACGGAGTCACTGTCCCCGCCTCATTACAGAAAATACGTTTTTGATTTATAATATTACACTATATCTGTACTGGGGCTTTTTTCCTCAAAGGAGCGCTGAGTAACGATTTATTTTTCTTGATTTTCAATTCGATCTTCTTCCATCTTATTGAAAACACAGACAGTTGTAAAGATCAGTGCGTCAGGAGTTTTTATGTCGTGTTGACAGGACTGATCATTCTGGACAATTTTACGTTTGAAGTTTGGATTCAGTTTGTGGGTCAAGTGGTAACGGAGGGAAACGGGCAGATTTTTGACATTCAAATGTGTCTTATTCAGAAACTAGAGGAACTATTGAAATAAGTAAAGTATCAGAATGTAGGAAAGAGTTACACTCCAACAGGGTCAAGTTAAACCTGTGAGATTCTTTCAAGTTGTTGACAAAACATTTTAAAAACTCATGTCGGTAACGGAGGGAATGAAATATGCAGCACTTTTTGGTCAATAAATCCAAACAGTGATAACTCTTGGTTCTCACTTACATATCCTTAACAAACTGGTTTGAATATTTGCTTCATATAGTTTTCTACCATATGGAACAAGATTAGGTTGAAAAACCTCTGACTTTTTGACTCATGAGATTTTTTATTAAGAAAGTTCATGGTAACGGAGGGAAAAGTAACGGAGGGAAAATTGTACAAACAAGTAGAAGGTGCAGGATTTTACATCATTTGTCAGTTTTTTCTTCCAAATACTTTAATATTACTTCTGGTTGCTCCGGTTTCCCAATCAACCCAAAACATGTTACAGGTCTCCAAGAACAGTTGATCGTCCAGGTCAGTTAAATACAATCAATCAATGAACCTGTCCAGGGACGACAGGTGGAAATTAGCACTGATGCTACAACCTGATGTACAAACATCTCTCCTGTCAAGGTTAATGCAAAAATTGTGCACTGTCCCTGTCTCAAATACATAAATAAATACATAAAAATAAAATGAAAGGAAACTATTTCTATAAAATATGTCAGTCCTTCCAAGCAAATTTTTATCATTTTAAATAATTTTTTTTTTTAATCCTGTCCCTTCATCAACAGTTCAAAGATGGAATAACACAAGATATGATGAAATACATCCATTTATTTACATGATTTTCGGGTCTTTGAAATTTGGGAAATAATTTTTGTTCCATGTTTCATACATGGTCTGTTTAAAACATATGGAACTTTAGAACCAAAAATGGTACAGAAAAAAGGTCAACAGTTTCATAAACTAGAGTAAATATGTATCTGTTCAATACATTTTTATATCAGATGCATTAACTTGAATTTTTGGCCTTGTTGTTTACTTCTGCTTGACCAGGTCCATATGGACAATATATTAAACCCAAACGCTCTACCAACTGAGCTACTGTATTTTTTGGACTATAACTTGCACTTTTTTCATGGTTTTGGTGCCTCCTGCGACTCATACTCAGGTGTGACTTATATATTACATCATTATTTCCCAAAGACCCTGTGACCCTCAGATTGGTCACAAGAAACTTTTTTTGGTCACCTTGTCTACATATAAATTTGCAGTGTACAGTTCTGACACATGAGAAAGTGAGTCAGTGAATCCTCTCTGTCTGCCCTGAATGAACTAAAGTTGAGAACTGCTGCTTGGTCGTCCAAAAAGACGGGAGATAAATCAGCAAAAGTCAGAGCACTTCAGGACACTTATGGATCCTTTTATTGCTGCTTCAGTGACTGATTTCATTGTTTAAAACTTGAGTAAAACTAACTGTTCAGAGACACGATCACTCAGTCGACAATAAAATATCCTCATCAATGTTCAGTAACACTGTTGGGCAAGTGACTTTAAAACTGTAATGTGTTTTTTTATGACTTGTTATTGTCATTTCAAAGTCATTTGTTAAATTACAATATTACTGTGTTTAAAATGTAAAACATGACGCGACTATTACAGCATTTTTAAGTTACTCTCACCAAAATAACTGAAGATGCTGAACTTTTGCGCTGTATATGGACTAAACCAGGACTAAACCAGGACTAAACCAAGGACTGAACCAGGACTGAACCAGGACTGAACCAAAAGTGAATCAGAGCTGAACCCGGACTGAAACAGGACTAAACCAGGTCTAAACCAGGACTAAACCAGGACTATACCAGAGCTGAACCAAGACTGAATCAGGACTAAACCAGGTCTAAACCAGGACCAAACCAGGACTAATCTTGGACTTGAACTTGGAAGCTCCTTGCAGACAGGGTGTTTGCGAGGCGCGATCAGGCATCAGCTGCGTTTAGCTCGGTGGAGCGAGTTCTGTGTCGGTCCTTTCGCCCGCGGTCACCTGACGGTCTACGTGGGCGTGTCTCCGGCGTTTCACCGCTCCTAATATCACCGTGATTTTAGCGAATTTGCATGAAGAAAAACGAAAAACCCACCACTTCAATCCAGGTTAAAATGCATTGCAACACACATTTGTACTGAGTAAAATATTAAATGTTTTCCCCTGTAATGCCGTAACATTACTGCGTTACAGCAAAAATGTCTATTGACTTGGGTCACGAAGGTTTGTGACTTTTAAAATATGACTCCCCAGAAAAAAAGTTTGGGAAACACTGTATTATTATGTGTTATTTTCACGCTGGTTCTTGTCTTGTGTGTGAGGATCTGCTGCTTCTGTTCCTCCTGCTCCACTGTCACTTCACTCTACTGCGCATGTCTCCTGCAGAAAGAGCCTCTGTCCTGTTGCAAGTAGCTGGCGCCACCTAGTGCCTCCCCTCAATTTCATTTCTCTTCAGCGACTAGGTCAGGAATCGGTATACACTAGTTCGCAAAAACCCCAGAAGTGCGAGTTCAGGCATCAGCCAATCAGTGAAGAGACAGACATTCTGTGTTGATAACGATTCCCGAGATCGAGGATTTAAAGCCGGAACAAAGAGAATGTTTGTTGAATTTTATCAAGGGGAAAGACGTTATTGTCCTTCTATCTATGGGATTTGTGAAAAGTTTAATATACCAGTTAGTCCCGTTAGCCGAGCATTACATACATCATGACCAAATAGCCGCAATTTTTAAAAATAAAAAAGTACCCACTTACCGTCGAGCGAACGAATCGTAATGCTGCGAAGTGAAACCGGCTGATGAATCAAGGTCGTAAGTAGTGAAATATGCATCCAAAAACTGTAATCGAGCAGCACAAAGAAAGTTTGGAGTGAGTGAGAAACTTGTGAGGAACTGGCAAAAAACAAAGGATACTCGAACTGCAATGAAGAAAACAAAAAAGCTCATCGCAAACGAAAAGTAGAGTCGGTGAAGTTGCTCAGAAGTGACACCGAGGATGAAGAACTGGTGTGAGATTGGAGCGGTCTCTGATTTTATATAAAAAATATTCCCTTTATATATTACTTACTTACTTATATATGTTTTTTTTCTTCTTCATTACACATTTTTTGGTTGGTGCAACTCATAGTCTGGAAAAAAAGGACCAGAAAACATTGTATTTATATAAAAAAAACAGATTACACTTGTGAATCCTGAGTTTAATCTGACTTTTTACAGAGAAATGTTTGCTGTTCTCCCATAGAAATCCTAATAAGAAAATGATTGTTCGACAAATATCGCTGGACGTGATTCGATTCAGACTGATCAGTTTCATTTGTTCTTTTGCAGAAGCTCAGAAGACTCCGTACTACGCGTCGTACGGCCCGGCCCGGCTCTCCATCCACTCCCTGTGCACCAGCCACTACCTCGACCTCGTCATCACCTTCATCATCTGCATCAACGTCATCACCATGTCCCTGGAGCACTACAGCCAGCCTCTGGTAAATACAAGACACTAAAAATACACAAAACTATATGAATAAATACATAAGAGTGAATAATCTACAGCACTACAGCCAGTGTTTGGTAAATATAAAACACTAAAAATACACAAAACTCTCTGCCCAGACGCATCGGAGACTCATCCACACTCCCCGTGTTTAAATAAGCCCTGAAACTCGTCTCTTTTACTTTTTTATTTCTTTTGTTTGTCTCTTTGTGTAAAGCGTCTTTGAGTATTTTGAAAAGCTCTGTACAAGTGTTATGTTTTATTATAAATATATATGAGTGTGTAATCTACAGCCTCTGGTAAATAAAACACTAAAAATATATAAAACTATATGAATAAATAAATGTGAGGAATCTACAGAGCTACAGCTTCTAAATATACACTAAACAATACTAAATATAAATATACACTAAACAATACTAAATATAAATATACACTAAACAATACTAAATATAAATATACACTAAACAATACTAAATATAAAATATACACTAAACAATACTAAATATAAATACACTAACAATACTAAATATAAATATACTAAACAATACTAAATATAAATATACACTAAACAATACTAAATATAAATATACACTAAACAATACTAAATATAAATATACACTAAACAATACTAAATATAAATATACTAAACAACTAATCTGCACAGCCAACCTCTGTCATTTTTAACATTTTCTCAGGGTTTATATGAGTCCAATCTGTTCTAGAGTTAATTTAACATTTTTGGAAATGTTAATTAAGTAACACTGGACCAAAGTTCCTGTTTAACTACAAAATCAAGAGTTATATTAAAGTTTTGAGAGTAAACAGATAACACTTTGTAGAGTTCATGGGAGTTTGCCCAACCAGTCCACATGTGTTTTGTGGATCTGGAGAAGGCGTTTGACCGTGTCCCTCGTGGTGTCCTGTGGGGGGTGCTCTGGGAGTCTGGGGTCCGGGGCCCTTTGCTAAGGTCTGTCCGGTCCCTGTATGACCGGAGCAGGAGCTGTGTTTGTTGCCGCAGTAAGTCAGACCTGTTCCCGGTGCATGTTGGACTCCGCCAGGGCCGCCCCTGTCACCGGTTCTGTTCATTGTTTTTATGGACAGAATTTCTAGGCGCAGTCAGGGGTCGGAGGGGTCCGGTTTGGGGACCACAGGATCATCTCTGCTGTTTGCAGATGATGTTGTCCTGTTGCCTTCATCAGACCAGGACCTGCAGCACTGGGGCGGTTTGCAGCCGAGTGTGAAGCGGCTGAGATGAAGATCAGCTCTTTCAAATCCGAGGTCATGGTTCTCGACTGGAAAAAGGCATCTTTTCCTCTCCGGGCTGGTGGAGAGTCTCTGCCTCAAGTGGAGGAGTTCAAGTATCTCAGGGTCTTGTTCTCGAGTGAGGGGAGGACGGAGTGTGAGATTGACAGGAGGATCGGTCCAGCATCTGCAGTGATGCGGTCGCTGTGTCGGACCGTTGTGGTGAAGAGGAGCTGAGTCCAAAGGCTCTTGATTTACTGTCAGTCTTCGTTCCTCCCCTCACCTCTGGTCATGAGCTCTGGGTAATGACCGAAAGGAGGAGCTCGGAGTAGAGCCGCTGCTCCTCCATGTCAAGAGGAGCAACTGAGGAGACTCGAGCATCTGTTCTGATGCCTCCTGGACGTCTCCCTCGGGAGGTGTTCCAGGCATGTTCCACTGGGAGGAAGACCCAGGACACTCTGGAGGGACTGTGTCTCTGGGCTGGCCTGGGAACACCTCGGGGTCCCCCTGGAGGAGCTTGTGTGTGAAGAAGTGTCTAGGGCAGGGGTGTCCAAACCTTTTTCATCAAGGGCCACATATCTAAACACAGACTGAGCGGAGGGATGATCGAGGGCCGTAGACATGTGCTCAATACAGTGAATAACTGAAATATGTGCATGTTTAACACGTTAGAATGAACCATCAGACTTTATTCAAGCTGAGATCCTTAAAAACACACACTAAATATTAAATATCAGCTTTATCAAGACTTTTTCAAAACCTTGCAGTAAAAAAATATTTTTTAATTGACGCAAAGTAATTTGGGCCAATTCACCTGGAAGTCTGAGGGCCAAGAAAAATGTGTCTGAGGGCCGCATTTGGCCCCCGGGCCATAGTTTGGACATGCCTGGTCTAGGGTGAAGGAAGTCTGGGAGTTTAGACTACTGCCCCCGTGACCCCGGATAAGTGGAAGAAAATGGACAGACGGTTTTGGAGACAAATAATGAAGAAAATAGTTGTTTTTTCATTTTCTTATTTTTGGTTTTATATTGAAAAACAAATGAACAAATGACACACGGACTGTGAACACTGAGGATGTTCTGAATGTTTAAGTGAGAAATGACTTTGGACAAACTGTTTACAATGAACCCACTCTGTTTTTTCACGTTTTAAAACAGTAAAAATCATGAACAGCTCCTTAAATGATCCTCACCTCCACCTCTTCACTTATTCCATCGCTCCAGACTCCATTTTCAAGGTCAGATGAACCGAGCCTGTGTTTCAAATCCCTTCGATACATTATGATTATGACGTTCATGTCTGCTCATATATTAACCGTATCCTGCTCATTCAAACAGCATTAACGAGGCCTGAGCTGGACCGACGCGCCGGGACACGAGACGCCCCGATGTTCTTTAACACCGAGCTGGAGGAAAGGACACATTTATGTGGTTAAAACAAAAGCGCTGGACCTGATTTTTACCGTCTTTAACTCATGAAAAACAGAACGAGTTCATCTGAAACAGTTGCAGAGCTCCAGAGTTCTTCAACAGTGTGACTTTAAACAGATTTACTTTAATTTTATTCAATTACTGATGGTTTTATAACTCAAAAATACCTAAAAACAAACATTGTGACTGTGAGCGGGGTCGCCTCTCCACAGATCTGACCTGGAACTTGGTCTGGTTTGGTCTCCAAGAAGATAGAAAGTTTAATGCCACACTGTGAAACTTTCCAGACAGTGCAATAACATCTCATGGAGAAAAGTATTTGACGAACCCTCCAACAGAAAAGTTACACAGTGCAGCTTTAAATTACTCTTACTTGAGTAACTTAAAGCTCCAAATACTTTTTTTACTTTTACTTGAGTCATTTCTTACACCAGTACTTAGTATGTCTAGTTGAGATATATTATTTTGAAGTAACATTACTTTTACTTGAGTACTACTTTTCCCAAATACTTTTTTTTTTAACTTTTTACTTTGTACTCCTACGTGAGTAATACATATATATTTTTGGAAGTAACGTTACTCTGTCTTGAGTAGTACATTTCCCCAATACTTTTTTTTTACATTTACTTGAGCCATTTCTTGAACCACTATTTTGTACTTCTACTTGAGTAATAATATTCTGAAGTAACATTACTCTTGTCAAGTAGTACCTTTCCCAAATACTTTTTAAATTTGTACTTCAACCACAACTTTGTACTTCTGCTTGAGTAAAATTAGTTTGAAGTAACATTCTTATTTAAGTAATACTTTTCCCCAAATACTTTTTTTACTTTTACTTGAGTCATTTCTTACACCAGTACTTGTATTTCTACTTGAGATATATTATTTTAAGTAAACATTGCTCTTATTTACATAGTACTTTTCCCAAATACTTTTTTACTCTTGAGTAATTTCTTGGACCACTACTTCGTACTTCTACTTGAGTAATATTAGTTTGAAGTAACATTACTCTTACCTGAGTAGTACTTTTCTCAAATACTTTTATACTCTTGTACTCTTGGACCTCTACTTAGTACTTCTACTACAGTAATATTATTTTGAAGTACCTTTCTTCGTGTTTGTTTACAGTGTTTTGCTCTTCTTCTTCTTCTTCGTCGTCGTCGTCGTCTTCTTCTTCTTCTTCTTCTTCTTCTTCTTCTTCTTCGTCTTCTTCTTCTTCTTCTTCTTCTTCTTCGTCTTCTTCTTCTTCTTCGTCGTCTTCTTCTTCTTCTTCTTCTTCTTCTCCTCCTCACGAGGTTTAATCCGAGTGTTTCATAATTCCTTCTTTTTCGTTTCCCTGCGTTTTGTTCTTCGTCCCCAGAGTCGTGCATTTTTCTCGGCGTCTGCTCCAATTAAGCTGATTTTTATTAGAATCCCTCCTCGGGCGATTCGTCATCTTCAGCGACAGATGAATCCCGACCGGCTCGAATCTCACATAACACGCCGTTCACCGGAAAAATGGAAAAGTAAACAAATGATTCAAGGGCTTCAGTGATGATTTTCTCACATTTGAAATAAGTTATAATGTTTTTACCTCATCAAAAATAAGACTGTGTTTTGTTTCATGTGTTTATGTTTGTGTGATTCTGTAAAAACTCCTCTGGGTTTTTGAAGAGGCGGAAAATCTGTTTATCATTCGTTCATTTGTTTTTCAATATAAAACCAAAAATAAGAAAAAAAAAAATAATGATTTTTTTTTTCAGTTTTCGATTTTGTTTAAATGACATGGAAAAATGTAGAAGGTTTCCTGTTCATGTGACTTAAACTGCAAAGCCGGACTGAACCAGGACTAAACTGTTTTCCCTGGTCAGTCAGTCCCGGTCCTCCGTCGTCTCTCAGTCCCAGTTCCCAGTCTCAGTACCAATTTGGTCCCGGTCTGGTCCTGGTCTGGTCCTGGTCTCAGTTCTGGCCCTGTTCCCAGTCTCAGTCCTGGTCTCAGTTCTGGTCTGGTCCCAGTCTCAGTCCTGGTCTCAGTTCTGGTCTGGTCCCAGTCTCAGTCCTGGTCTGGTGTCAGTCTCAGTCCTCGTCTCAGTTCTGGTCTGGTCCCAGTCTCAGTCCTGGTCTCAGTTCTGGTCTGGACCCAGTCTCAGTCCTGGTCTCAGTTCTGGTCTGGTCCCAGTCTCAGTCCTGGTCTCAGTTCTGGTCTGGACCCAGTCTCAGTCCTGGTCTGGTGTCAGTCTCAGTCCTAGTCTCAGTTCTGGTCCAGGTTTCAATCACGGTCTGGTCCTGGTCTGGTCTCGGTTTCAATCCTGGTCTCAGTTCTGGTCCTTGGTCCCAGTCTAAGTCCTGGTTTCAGTCCTGGTTCAGTCGTTATCCGTTTTTTTTTTTTTTTTGCATTTTTCATTTAAACACAAAATCAAAAACTGAAAAAACAAATCATTATCCAGTTTTTCATTTTGGTTTTGGAGACAAATAATGAAGAATTTTTATTTTTTTTTTTTTCGTTTTATTTTGAAAAACAAATGAACGAACGACGGATTTTCGAAGGTCAGACAGAAAAATGAGACAAACTAAATCAGAAACACAAACGTCCAAATCAATTCATATCGTCACGTGAAGTTTTTGTCACTTTACACTAAGAGTACAATTACTTCAATACAAATATTATAAAAGTATTCTGCTGGAAAAATACTCTGAAAAGTACAATTTCTTTCCTTTTTCTTCTCCTCTAACCCTGGTCCTTGTTTCTCTCTCAGTCCCTGGAGACGGCGCTCAAATACTGCAACTACTTCTTCACGTCCACGTTTGTGATCGAGGCGTCGCTCAAACTCGTGGCGTTCGGCTTCAGACGGTTCTTCAAAGACAG